TTTGTAAAACACCAGCCGTACTTTTATAGGGGGAGCTGGGTGTGGCAAAAAAAAAAAAAAAAAAAAAAAAGAATCAGGAGCAAAAGGAATACAGAGACAATACAAGTTCAGATGCTGGAGACTGTGCAAATTCTATCTTGCTGACAGCATCACATCAATATTAGAAGGTAGGTTCTTCAAGCATGAAAAGAAGTTTTCTTAAGGAATGCAACCCGAATTGAAATATTAGTCACATGGTTTATTCCATTAATGGATTACGTGCATTTATTTCAAGCTTTGCTGGCCGGTACAATCTCAAAACCATATCAATTTCACAAAGGTCCAGGACAGCTAGCAATTATATTATTAGATTTCAACATAAATGCAAAACATTCAGTATGTATTCCTGCACTGTTCTTCCAAAGCATTATTGTTGTGAAGGAACTGGAAAGAAAAACCTACAATTCTACAGAAATTCACTGCAAAATATTTGCAGTTCAGAAGATCACATACTATTAGAAATAGTCACTCCATGACCTAATATGAACAAGTCTGAGCAATATATGGCAAAAGAAATTATTTAGCAATTCAATACTTTTGTTTAAAAATTCCATTTCAAACCGTCTGCAGTTCTGTAACAAACTAGAAGTTCACGATTAGAGACTGCTAATTTAAGTAGAGGCCCATTTTGGACAGAGCCACTAGTTAACTGTTCATTTGTCTCTGGAAATAACTTGAGGCAAACTCATAAGCTCCTTTATGGTGTAAGCATCATGCTCTAGAAAAGTGCATACATAACATTCTCATTTTTTAAAAGGATTTCCTATGAATGTAACTACAGTGATAAAGCCACATAAAATAAAACAAGAATTTGAAACATGCTGAATATTTTCTGAACTAAGGACCATATTTTAGTCCTATCAAAATAAATAGTCCTTTGAATAAACTCTATCACCATTATCAATAACTATCAATAACGTTTCCATACAGTCTAAGTATGATGTTTGTTGTATGCCTTTAGCTAACAAGCAATAACGCTGAATGCATTAGTTTATGCTAAATTAGCATTAATACAATTTAATAGGTCTGTTGCAAAACAACTTGAAAATAGTTACAACTAGGCCACAATACCAGATTTCCATGCAGGCCCCATGGATGCAAAGAGGCAATACGCACTGAATTAATTCATTAAATGATGAGAAACCTGACCACAAGTTACTTACCGAGCACATCCTACTAAACAGGCTTTTTAAACATTTTAAAACATGTTGAATCGAAGTATGATTCAACATGACCTGTAAAACCATGTAGGGAGAAATACCCTACAGACAGAATAACCAGGTCATCTGAGCCACACTAATCTATGTGCTTCTGTAGTTTGTCTCATGGCTTGAGAGAACTAAAACATCTAACAAATTAACACAAAAAACTTTTGTACTAAAATATCTACACTTTTAATGAGTTCCTTAAATTGCAGTGAACTTTATTATGCCACATTACTTGCACAGATACCCCTTTAAGCAACAGCCTTTTCTCTCCCCCAGTTAGCTTACTTTTCTTGACAGTATTTCACAGTAGTCTGCTTTGTGTTTTCACAAATAAGGGCAAATAATTCTATTTGGGACTAGCACCAGTCTAGGTTGGCACAATGCGAGTATTTCCTCCTGCGGGAGGAAGCAGTGCTAGAGTCAGCTGGTTGTTTCAGTTCTTATATTGGGAAAGCAGAGTGGCACGGATGCCCCTACTCCCTACAATTTTCATCCAACAAGTTAGAAGCAAGATAGAAAAAGAAAACAACATAGATTTCAGCATGTTGTGAAGTAGTCCCGAACACTGTAGTGATGCCAGACTTGGTTGTTCCACTCTTAGTTGCAGAATTAAGGCGGAGGAGGCACACCAAAGTTAGAAATTTAAATAAAATCAACCATTCTGTCTTCACTGAAAGACAGCTGTTTCACAGAACACAGTCTGAAGACTTATGATGGAGTATTAATACTTGCATTTACTTTTGGCAAAATCCGCCCTGGTAGAACGTTACAAGCATTCTAAGGCCAGCTAATCCCCAAATCCATCACTTTCCCTTTTACTGTAATTCTCACTAAAGTCAAAGGCACCCAAGACATTGAACTACCCAAACATCATAAAGCATCATTACCAAAAAAAGATTTCGGAAAAGTAACAAGATACAGGGAAAACCAAAACCTTTACTGTTGCTAACTATTTTCTGTAGATACAGAGGTTCAATTTAGGACATAACACCTTCTATAACTCAGGTCTCAGAATAAAACAGTGTTCCATGTATACGATTCACATCAAGAACATAATTAAACCTACAGAA